GTAATTTATTTTTATTTTTTATTTATTTATTAATCACGTTAATTAAGAAAGAGCAGAACAGAGTGTACTACGTATGGACAAAAGTTATTTTAAAAAGGGAGGGGGGAGGGGGGATACGTTTATTGTTTTTATTGTTCTGTTTCAGCATGAGTTTAAATTTCGATGGCATTTTTTAAAACTCTCTACCAAAATCTCGATCAGCAGACAGAGAAGAAAGCCGAGTAAGTACCCCCGGGGCGGTGCTACTGACTTAAGTGTCTTTAGTCCATTCCCCAAGGTGGGGGGAGGGGGGGCAATTAACATATTTTTATGCCCAGTAGAATTGTACATGGGGTGATTCATCAATGCCATGCTCATAACTGTGCCTGAAATGAATGCAACGGGGGACTGTTGCTTTTTCTTTGCTAATCCTTACTATCGTCATTTTCCTCTACTTCTTTTATATGTTTGTCACACTCTTGTGCACGCTATTTCCCGGGTGCCTTGAAAGTCGAAGCAGACTTTGCGCTGTTGAAGCTAGAGAGCTGAGAAGAGTGGGCCTGATTCCCTGCATGGACTGCTTTGTTGACATCCACCCCTTGGCGCTCATATGACCTTATGCAGTTGCGAGCGCCATAAAAAAACCTCTACTAAAACTTTAAAAAAAACTAAACTAAAAGAGGAGTAAACCCTGAGAAAAGTCGGAACTGCAGAGCCCCTCGTTGACGCGGGGGAAACACTATATCAGCGAGGAACATTGTCTGTAGTGTAATTGGGCGCTTTAAAGGACAAGGGGGAAAGCCCAGATATCGGCGTTTCCTGAAATCTTGACCTACACCAAAAGTGGGCATTGCCCTACTTTTAAGAAAAGTTTGGTTTCATTGGTGTACATATTTGTTTGGATATAGAGAAAACTTTCCTTGTATTTTAAAGAAACTGAACAAGGGGCAAAAACTTTACCTACGATTTTCTCAAAACAGCACTTTTCGAAGTGACCAATTGGGGTATGTGTTCCGCGCTAAATACCAATCGGTGCTATCTTAAGATTGTGCTTCGCGTTTTAATGATCGTATAATTGCGCGGCAATCTAAAGATTGCGTTGATACTTTATTTTTATTTTTTTAATATAAAAATTATCACTTCCATCATTATTCTTTTACGCACACCAAGGAACATACCCATAACATACATTTTCAAAAGCGTAAAAATATGAAAATTAAAATTAATATTAAATTAGCATATATGAAACTGAAGAGCTCACAAGAATGATTCAATGCCTGGCATCATACTCAAAGTTCACAAGGTACACTTAATGTGTGTTATACTTTTGAAATATCTTTCCTTTTAAATTCACTTCCATCTTTATTTTTTTACTCATATCAACTAACATTCACTTTATAATATATTTTCAAAAGTGTAAAAATCAGAAAATTAAAATTAAAATTAAAATTAAAGTTAACATATAAAACTGAAGAGCTCACAAGAATGATACAATTATACAATCGTCAAAACGCCCAGCGCAATCTTAAGATTGCACCGATCTGTAATTACCGTGGAACATCAATGTAGTAATAATAATAGATAGCATTTATTGTATATCGCAAATCCCCGTACAACAGCAAGCTTTATATTATGTGCTTTACAGTCTATACTATTACTTCAACAGACATCGGAGCATTCAGAAACAACCTCAACTCCCTGGGAAGCATACACTTCAAGCGGGAATTTATAGGCGTTAAAACACTAACATACTGACAAGATCTTTCGCTGTCTATGGGCCGGGTACCCTTTCCAACCTTAATTAAGTGAGGGAGATTCGTGTAAAGTGCCATTCACAAGGACACAACATCGGGTCCGCAGGTCGAACCCCCGAATCGGCAACCTCACGATTACGAGGTCTGGTAGCCTAACCACTAGGCCACGACGCCACGTAGTAAGAATTAGAAGAAGAAGAAGAAGAAGAAGAAGAAGAAGAAGAAGAAGAAGAAGAAGAAGAAGAAGAAGAAGAAGAAGAAGAAGAAGAAGAAGAAGAAGAAGAAGAAGAAGAAGAAGAAGAAGAAGAAGAAGAAGAAGAAGAAGAAGAAGAAGAAGAAGAAGAAGAAGAAGACACTACTTCTACTATTATTACTGTTACTACTACTACTACTACTACTACTACTACTACTACTACTACTACTACTACTACTACTACTACTACTACTACTACTACTACTACTACTACTACTACTACTACTACTACTACTACTACTACTACTACTACTACTCCTACTACTCCTACTCCTACTACTCCTACTACTACTACTACTAAAGAATAAAAGTAACACATTATTATAATAATTATAATGATGATGATGTTTCTGATGAAGCCCGTAGAGGGACAAACGTTCAAGGTGTCATTAAATATTTTGGAAATACATGTACTACCAAGTCTCAATCTTTTTACTCTATGCTGTATACAATGATGATGATGATAATGGTGATGATGATGATGATGATGATGATGATGATGATGATGATGATGATGATGATGATGATGATGATGATGATGATGATGATGATAATAATGATGATAAAGGTGATAATAGCACCTATGTAATGATAATAAAACGCATATTTTGTACAGCGCATATAATCGCTCTTCGTCACTCTCTATGCACTTTACAATTTATAGTTATTATATCCACATCAGACCCTAGACCACCCAGGGGCATATTCAGATTTCCGGGAAGCATACGGTACCAGCAGCCGGTCAAATACTCACACATTAACAAACTGCCAAGTTCTTTTCCCGACCATAGCCGGTTACCGTCTCGTACGTGTGTGAAGTTAGTAGGTTGTCACTAACTCAGAATTACAAAGTTCTATCTGACATTTTTGGACCTTTTGAGTTACTAAGACCCTGAGATTCAAAACTAAATGCTTTATCTGCTCTGTCAAAATCGTAAGAATATTATTAGTCCTTTTCCCAATATTCAAAGAATTGCATTAAAAAAAGCTTGACATGTTGTGAAACTCAATATCTTTGACGTCAAATTTCCCAAAACTAGGTACTGAGAAGATAGAACTTTGTAATTCTGAGGTCTGTAAGTGCCATTTCCAAGGATACAACATTGGGCCCCTAATGGAGTTCGAACCCATGACCTTTCAGTTGCGAGCCCAACAGGCAAACGACTAGATCACGAAGCACTTTTGTTCTTCTCCGAGCCCTTTCGTTTAATGTTTGACCCATTTACCTGATTGGCATAAAAATTGGAGAAAACGAATGTGACACGTTTTGGTCTCATCTGGCTTTCCATTCGTGAACATCCGGTGTTGTCTTTAACACAGTAGATCTAAATCGTATTGAGTTTGCAACCCTTGTGTTGAGCAATAATGGAGGATTTTCAATTAGTCTTATTGTTTAGGATGAAAAGAAGACACCGGGTCCCAAAACGGTACTGGACATATCATATTTTTCTGCAAAGAGGTGATTTTGGAGAATTTCACCATCTTTTGGATGAAGTTTTAAGGGAGGAGAAAAAATTTGTTTCCTTCATTCGGTTACGAACTGAAACTTTTCAAACCCTTCTTCATCTCATTGGAACTCATATTGAGACAAGAACAACAAATTTTCGCAACCCGTTGTCCTCAAGAGAGAGACTTGTTATCACTCTGCGGTAAGTTATATACATTGATTATAGATCTAGACGAAAATATAGAGTGTGAATACATGCTGAGAGAGAAATGGGAGAAACTTTAGTTGCGAGATAAAACGATCGCGATCGGCTTAGGAACTGGCAGCGGTAGGAAAAGGAGAGGAAAACGAGAGAGGTGCACTCAGTTTCCGGTGATGAGATATGAGAAACTCCCAATGACTCGGCAACTGGGAGGAAAGGTCAAACAGGGAGCACCAGGGAACGGAGAGGAAAACAATAAAGGCCCTCAGTTTCTACACTAATACGAGGTGTCCACTGCGGCAGGATCGGGACGATCGCATGATTCGATTCCCTGAAACGGAAAAAACACGTTTGTTTTTTAGGCGACCGAGTCGGGCGATCAGCCCGATCGGCCGATCCCATCCATAGTGGGCACCCCCTATAAGGCTCTTCCCAAGGTTATTGACCCTGATAGACAGGGTTGAAACAGACTGACTGCCCTTTCAATGATCAAACTAAAAACTTAGTTGTTCTGAAAGGAGCGTAAAACGGTTGGAATCCACACCAAGGAGAACGATTCTACAACCCCCACGGAGAGCACATCAGGCTAATGCACATGTATTATTATTATTATTATTATTATTATTA